CAGTGAATGAAAGGTTGAGTGGTGTGAACCTGATGTTTTTGATTTTTTTTTTTTTTAAGATTTATTTTATTTATTTGAAAGACAGGCTGCAGAGAGAAGCAGCGACAGAGAGAGCTCGTCTTCCATCCGCTGGTTCACTACTCAATTGGCCACAATGGCCGGAGCTGTGCTGATCCAAAGCCAAGAGCCAGGAGTTTCTTCTGGGTCTCCCACCTGAGTGCAGGGGCCCAAGGATTTGGGCCATCTTCTACTGCTATGCCAGGCCATAGCAGAGAGCTGGATCGGAAGAGAAGCAGCCAGGACTAGAACCGGCGCCCATATGAGATGCGGGTGCTTCAGGCCAGAGCTTTAACCCGCTGCACCATAGCACTGGCCCCATTGATATTTTTAAGTGTCCATAACACAGCAGTTAGAAACTTGGAAATGACACAGGCACTGTTGCAGAATGTTTGAAATAGAGTAGTTATTAAAAACCTTCAAAAATATCCTTATTACAATCTCGCACCCTTTTTCTTATTAGAGACATTGCTAGAGAGTTTGCCTTTTGCATTATTAGCAGCTTATCTTCTTGTGAAGGTAACTAAATACTGTGTTCATGCATAAGCATTGAAATACAGTGGGGAGAGCAGGACTCCTGCCAGTTTTCCTGGGATTCAGAAGTTGTACACGTGATTTTTCCACTGTAGACAAATTTCCTGCTTTGCCCACACAGTTCGGTTTTCAGATTTGTGTGTATTATGTTTCCAATTAAATGTTAGGGCCCTGAAATTACCATTTGATTTGTTCCTTTTTGAGCCAAAAAGATCTAATCACAACTTTGAATGATGGCAGTGCTGCAACTGAGGCCGGAAAACCATTTCTAGTGTTTGCAAAAGTACAGCACTAGGGTGTCTCCATGCATCTATTCCTGGGACTTAGAATTTAGTCTTGTAAAAAGAGTACATAGTTTGTATTTAAAAAAAAAAAAAAGTGTGCCATAAAAGTTTAAAAAGTAGAGGTAATTTAAGAGAGTGTTTGTAAATTATGGGGTGCTATTCGGAGAAAAGTCAATAAATGCTTATTGAGCACCTCTTGGTGTTTATGACATCTGTTGTCTGCAGGGTGGCAGCATGCTGGTGTGTGGTGATCCACAGGGATGCTAGAAATTACTTGACAATAACATGAGGTTTGCTGTGGATTGATTTAAGTTAACTGGAGCAGTTATTCATACAGTTATATTACTTTCACTTGGGTTTGTCTCTCTTTCACACACACACACACATAACAGGGCATCAAAAGATTCATAGAAAATGGAGCTAAAAGGTAATGTATGTTTCCACAAACTTTTTGAAGACCCCTCATGTGTCAGAGGATAGAAAGAAGTTGGCAGGAAAAGATTTGACTTACAATCTCTTACTACCTCTTTTCCTCCACGCGTTCAAATTCAAGTTTTGCTTGCTTCAGCCTCTTCTCTGGGGCCTGCATTCATCTGCCTTCTCTGCCCTGAGCCAGTGATGGCAGAGGCTCCACTAGCAGTGGGTCCACCCCAGTGTCCAAGCCTCTGCTGTGATGGGCATTTCCACATTTCACCCTGAGCTTCCTTTAAGGCTCCTGTTTCTTTCCTACTAGCCATTTATTTAGGCTGTGCAGATATTTCTTAATGTGGAATTGCCATTTAAATGGATTGTAACAGTTTATAGATTTAATGTTACATTGCCTGGGTGATCTTCAGAAAGCTTGAAACCACTGGAAGTGCCATCTGCAGTAAAAAGGACCTGTTTCTTGGCCGGCTCCGCGGCTCACTAGGCTAATCCTCCGCCTTGTGGCGCTGGCACACCGGGTTCTAGTCCCGGTCAGGGCGCCGGATTCTGTCCTGGTTGCCCCTCTTCCACGCCAGCTCTCTGCTGTGGCCAGGGAGTGCAGTGGAGAATGGCCCAAGTACTTGGGCCCTGCACCCCATGGGAGACCAGGATAAGTACCTGGCTCCTGCCATCGGATCAGCGCAGTGCGCCGGCCACGGTGGCCATTGGAGGGTGAACCAACAGCAAAGGAAGACCTTTCTCTCTGTCTCTCTCTCATTGTCCACTCTGCCTGTCAAAAAAAAAAAAAAAAGACCTGTTTCTCTACATTCCTGGCATGTTAGGGCTCTGATTATCTGCAGGCTAGTTTGTGACACTAAATTGGAAATTCTGGCTTTTTGTGTCTATTGCATTATGTTTGTATCGGTTCTTTTTTTTTTTAAAAAAAAAAGATTTATTTATGTATTTGAAAGTCAGAGTTACACCAAGAGAAGAGAGGCAGAGAGAGAGAGAGAGAGAGAGGTCTTCCATCCAGTGGTTCAGAGAGAGAGAGAAAGAGAAAGGTCTTCCATACCATGGTTCACTCCCCAATTGGCCACAATGTCTGGAGCTGTGCCGATCCGAAGCCAGGAGCTTCTTCCAGGTCTCCCACATGGGTGCAGAGGCCCAGGGACTTGGGCTATCTTCTACTGCTTTCCCAGGCCATAGCAGAAAGCTGGATCAGAAGTGGAGCAGCCGGGACTAGAACCGGTGGCCATATGGGATGCCAGTGCTCCAGGCCAGGGCAATAACCCACTGCGCCACAGCGCTGGCCCCTGTATCGGTTCTTTACTTATTAAAAATAATTTATATTCAGAATTTTTCTGTATTTATTAATTTTATTTTATTTACTTGAGAGACAAAGAATTCTCATCTGCTGGTTCAATCCTTAAATGCCCACAGGAGCCAGGTTTCCCATGTGGGTGGCAGGGACCCAAGTACTTGAGCCATTACCTGCTGCGTACCATGGTGTACATTAGCCAGAAACTAGAATCAGGAGCCAAGATGCTACTCATACCCAGGCACTCCAATATATGCTGTTGGCATTCCAAGCGGCATCTTAACCCCAGGACAAATGCTTGCCCCTGCATTTTTTCAGTGGTTTCACTTTGTTGGGCAGAATTTTATTTGAGCACATACATCTTATTATTGATAAAACCTTTTGTGATTAGCTGGCTCTTTTCCCCCAGACTTCCATCTGTTTCAGGATTTGTGGCAGTTTACGATAGTTGAGAATGTTGGTTTTTTGGGGTCTGTTAATTACCTAGGACTGACTTGTCTATAATGAAGCTTAAAGAGAATATTATTTTGAATTTTAATCATTCTTATTCAAAGCACTTACTGTTTCTCTGGAATTTCTGACTTCCTTGAGGTGAATAATTGTTCCATCAAATACTAATCCTTGCAGGGATTCTTAATGCATCATTTACTAGCTGGACTTTTGCTTTCCTGACTTACCCAAGTCTGCTCTGCTCTGCTGTAGCACCTGACCTTGAGGGATTTCCAGCTTGTTTTACTACCTCCTTGGCCACTGTGCTCTTTGCAGATAACAATACCTGGTAAAAATGTCTCAGGGGGAGAATCCTTGGCATTACGATAGAAAATGCCTCTAATTCTTAGAGGAAAAAAACCTAGATTTAAAGACATTAAAGTGATAAGCCATAATTGTAGTCCCAGAGATGATTGTAATCACAAATCTTTCAGTTTTCTATTTGCAGCAGACATGACCATGAACTCATGTGGAATTGGGGCCATCTCAAATTTTAATTGTTGTTTTTACAAATTGACAAATTATATATATTTATGTGGTACAAAGTATGTTATGATTTGTTAATACAGTGTGGAATAATTAAACTAGTTAATATATCTACCACCTCAAATACCTCACTTTAGTCTTAATGCTCTACATAATGTGTACACATCACATTCGTTTGGATATGAGAAATAATTATGAAGCATAAGGATAATTGGGTGCCCCAGGGTGGCTTAGGAAGAATACAGAATACAGTGGTATTCTACGGCTGTGTGGAGGGTTCAGGAAATGGAAGTGAACAAATGTGAGGCAGTATCTGGGCCAGGACCAGAGCCAAGGTCCTGTGATCCCTCGTTGCTTGTATGAGGAAAGGGCTGGCTTCACACCTGAAGTGGTACTGGTTAATGATACAGGCAGCCCCACATTGAGTTTCCTACGTACTTCCCAGGGTGCCTCAGTGCACTTCTCTACCTCTGAGTCCAGTTGCTGAACATTTTGTGGTGTTCATGGGTCATTTATGAGAAAAAGCTCTGTTATGAGGGCAGTACCATTGGAATGGGAAGGAGGATTAAATCCCCAGTAAGATAAAATCAGTCATTTAAAAAAATTATATGAAATACTGCAGTAATTTGTTTTGTCAAGTAATACATGCATGTGGTTTAAAACATCCAAGTCTGGGAGAGCTTATGATGAAATGCTATAGTAATGGGAGCAACTTTATATGCAGACCTGTCTCTTTGAGAAGATTACTTTGAATTCTGTTTGCTCTCTCTCTCTCTTTTTTTTAATTTGACAGGTAGACTTATAGACAGAGAGAGACAGAGAAAAAGGTCTTCTTTCCGTTGGTTCACTCCCCAAATGGCCGCTACGCCGGCCCCACACCGATCCAAAGCCAGGAGCCAGGTGCTTCTTCCTGGTCTCCCATGCGGATGCAGGGCCCAAGCACTTGGGCCATCCTCCACTGCCCTCCCAGGCCACAGCAGACAGCTGGCCTGGAAGAGGAGCAACCGGGACTAGAACCCGGCCCCGCTCTCTCTCGCTCTCTCTCTCTCTCTCTCTCTTTTTTGATTATCTATATTTCTTGATGTCTCCATTGTAGATATTATTTATTGGTTTTCTTCTGAAAGGCATGAGTTCTTCCCTTATTGCCTACCCCACCTTTCTAACTTACATATGCCAGCATCTTTTGTAACTTAACTCGATCTACAGAGAGAGTATGGCTTTTATTCCATTCCAACAAATTAGAGTCTAGGGTAAGTAGAATTAGAAATAGTTAGGGCTACACTTAGGACTGTGGGAATTGATGGGACATAGATGTTGTGTGGCAGTAATCCTGTTTCATGTTTTCTTCATGTGTTACAGTTAATCTGGAAATAATCTAAAATGTTTTATTTGGGGCTTGTAATCTTTGCTGTTTTTATGTTTTACAGATAAAAAATATCTTCCTCCAATATTTGAAAATGAAAATACAAAAGAAAGAGAAGCAGGTAAGTGATCACACATGTTTTAAATGAACGCATCCAGTGTGCTGGGGGTGCTCTTTTCACAAAATGAGGCACTGGCAGTGTTGGTTCGTCCTCAGCCCTGGTCGTTCCCCTGTTGTCTCTGTTTCCCATTGCTCATATGGTAGCCAAGGGCTCTATTCTGAAACCACTCAGTGTACAAATTTTTCCTTTGGCTAAGTTCTCTCCATATGGGAGTAATGCAATAAAAACTAAATCAGAATATTATTCACAATTAGCAATGTAGAAAAGAAATGGTTTCTTCCCTGGAACAGCTTTCCAAGTTTCTCTAAAAGAGATGCAACCAATTTTTTATAGTTTATTTACTTATCATATTTTTGGTTACACTAAAGCCTTATTTATAACATTCTCATTTATGATGGTCCATTGGCAGTTGCCCCAGGAAGGAATAGGAACTAATTAGAAGGATGTGAGCACTGACTGTTTGGCATTTGCTTTCTTTATTTTTTTAAACATACACTTACTTATTTATCTATATCTATCCCTTTACATATTTATCTGTCTGAGAGAGAGACAGAGATACATTCCATCTTCTGGTTCACTCCCCAAATGCCTACAACAGCCAGAACTAGGCCAGGCCAAAACTGGGAACCAGGAACTCCATCCCAGTCTCCTGTGTGGATGGCAGGAACCCAAGTACTTGGGTCATCATCTGCAAATTTTCCATGTGCGTTAGCAGGAAGCTGGACAGGAAGCAAAGCAGGCAGGACTCCAATATGGGACGTTGGCATCCCAAGCAGCAGCTTAACCCACTGTTGTATAGTGCTGGTGCCTGGCCTTTGGTTTCTTGAAATGCAGGAGAGGAGAGCCATATGATGTATACTACCCCAAGTGGTCTTCTATTCAAGGGAACCCTGAGACCCCAGTTAGTGCGGCTCAGTGGGGACAGATGGGAGATCTGCCCCCTCTCTCTGGGGAGCAGGCTATCTCTGAGTTTGGGTGGGACTGGCCAGGCTTTATTCTCCAGGCTTCTTCTGGGCAGTCCTAGTCAGATGCGGTTACAAATACTAACCTCTGTTCTCTGCCCAGAGCACAGATCTGTTTGGGGAAGTAATTGACTGGTATGTTGCTAGTTCATAATGGGAAGAACAGTTACTAAATACTTCCTATACACTGGTTTTGTCTGTCCTAGCTGTATAGAATTGTCAGCTGCTAAGAGTTTATCCTTGGTATGTAAAGAGGTGCCCGAAGGCTTGCATTTCTACCTCATTTATGGTAGCAAAAATGATAAAGAACCTTCAGAGCCATCAGAATAGGCACTATTTAAACCTTAACACATCTACCTGCTGGAATATTATGCCACTGTTAAAAGAAGGCAGTACTGAAGAGAACCTCAAACCCTCAGGATTTTTGTCATTTGTGATATGTGGGCAGGTTTATATTTCTTACAACGGTCTACTTGGTTAATTTTTAAAACATTTTCAAGGTACGCTTTTATTTAAATGTAAATATTTTATAGGAGTTACCTTCAAATGGATTCTAGTTTCTTTCTTTAGAGATTTTACAAAGTCACTTTAATATCTTAATAACAGCCAGCTGTCATGTAACCTAAATCAAACAGGTTTTCATTTAGACCTCATAGTAGTGTTGATGAACAGAATGGGATTTTTATTTAATAGTTAATATTAGATATGGTAGAGAAGCAGGTTAAATAAATAGAGCCACTTTCAGTAGGAGTTGATCCTGTTCCTCTTACAAATTTGGACTGATGACTGAATTGCAAGACATTGCAGGGCATGAAAATAGAAATTACGTTTGAGCCAAAGCAATCTACAGACTCCAGGAATGAACTTGTATGAGAGTTCAGTGCCCAGCAGAAAAGAGCATCTGTTAGTGGAATAAACTTGATCTCTGACTTCATTAGAACAGGATTGAAACTATCACTTAGTCAAGTAACGCTGGACAAGTTGGGTCTCGTTTCTCTATCACTTACATGGCAGCAGTCATACATGCCTCGCGCTGTAGATGAGGACTAAAGGAGGTGATTTGTTAAGTACTTGGCCGTCAGCATGTCGGGGCAAGGAGATCTTTCAGCATAACAATAAAAATAGCCATCAAACTTTGTCTTTTCTCTGATTCTAAGGTGTTAGAAGCAGCAGCAAATAAAACATTCTTTAAAAACCCTCATTCCTATTAATTCATTTTTGTATCTTCACTAGCAAAAAATGATATGTGAATCATTCTGATCTTGAACTTTTCTTACTCAGTGTTATCAAGGTAAATTAAGCTGAGATGACAGATTTTAAAAATTAATCAAAACTCATAATAAATAATCATGCTTCTTATTAACCAGAAAGAACAAAACTGAGTCATATTTCAAGAACACAAGATATAAAGGTTGACTTTGTATGGCCTAAAGACCTGCTACAAGAAAAATAGACTTTAATAAAACATTTTAAAATAAATCGCTGAGGGCCCAGATCTGTGGCACAGCAGGTTAAAGTCCTGGCCTGCAGTGCCAGCATCCTATATGGGTGCTGGTTCAAGTCCCAGCTGTTCCTTTTCCAATCCAGCTCTCTGCAATGGCCTGGGAAAGCAGTGGAAGATGGCCCAAGTCCTTGAGCCCCTGCACCCACATGGGAGACCCGGAAGAAGCTCCTGGATCCTGGCTTTAAATCAGCATATTTGTTGAGTATTTTGGCATTTATTCACTCCAAGAAATATTTGAGTTCCCCTGGAGCCCAGATTCAGAAAAAAAATTTTCTTAAGAAATTTATAGTGTGGGTATAAGCAATTAGTTAAAAGTAGGGGATGGCATATATTCCGAAGAGCCAGGGTTTTACACTGTGGGTAGAATAGTGAAGTTCTGGAATTGAAGGGTGTGGGGTTAGGGAGTATCAGTCCCACCAACATCTTTGAGTGAGGTGGTACCTTCTGGGGAGAGCCAGTTTTCAGGAGGGGTACTACAGAGAACTCAGGAGGAAAGCCAGGAGGGAAGCGAGTAATGTATGGATTGGTTTCAGAGGATGAAGTACTTTGGTGGTAACCGAGAAAGGAAAGGCCTGGAGTGGGTGCTCAGTTCTCAGTGATGACCAAAGGTAAACCAGGATAAAGAAGCATGGTGGATTTAGCTGACTGCCCGGTTCCCAAAAGAATCAGTCCCAGCGGTCCAAAGCTGGGGGGAGGTGAGAACTCAGACCACTAGGAAGAGGTTGATAACCAATTTGGATTGCTAAATTGAGATTCACAATTCAGAATAATGAAGGAGGAAGAATAGCAAAGGTGACATTTTAAATGAGTAAATGATTCATTTCTGAGACTTTCCAACCTCATTCTACACCTGATCCCAAGGGTTTACTAGGCAAACCTTGAGTTTGGTATTCATTGGAAAACTTTTTGGTTTCTAAAATATTTATTTATTCATTTGAAAGATGGAGTTAGAGGGAGAGGGAGAGACAGAGATAGAGAAGTCTTCCATCTGCTGGTTTACTCTCCAATGGCCACAACAGCCAGGGCTGATCCAGTCTGAAGCCAGTAGCCTAAAACTGTCTGAGTCTTCCGTTTGGGTGGCAGCGGCCCAAGTACCTGGGCCATCTTCTGCTGCCTTCCCAGATGCATTGGCTGGGAGCTGGATCAAAGTAGAGCCTTTGAAATTTGAACTGGTCCTCTGGTATGGGATGCTGGTGTGACAGGCTGTGGCTTAACCCAATATGCCATAATGCTAGCCCATCTTTTCTTAATTTTTTTTTTAAAAGATTTACTTATTTATTCAAAAGTCAGAGTTACCCAGAGAGAGGAGAGTGGGAACGCGAACGCGAGCACGAGCGCAAGAGAGAGAGAGATCTTCCATCCGCTGGTTCACTCCCCAATTGGCCGCAATGGCCAGAGCTGCGCCGATCCAAAGCCAGGAGCCAGGAGCTTCTTCCAGGTCTCCCACGTGGGTGCAGGGGCCCAAGGACTTGGGCCATCTTCCATTGCTTTCCCAGGCCACAGCAGAGAGCTGGATTGGAAGTGGAGCAGCTGGATCTCAAAACGGCGCCCATGTGAGATGCCAGCGCTTCAGGCCAGTGCATCAATCCAATGTGTCACAGCGCTGGCCCTGTCTTAATTTTTTTAATCCTTAGCAAATATCTTTCCCAAGATCTCAAAAAGGTGCTTTAAAAATTAAAGAAAAAAATTTATGTTAAATTATTGGGTTTTGAAATTAGTTCATGTGGCCAGCACTGTGGCGCTATAGGTTAATCAGTGGCCTGCAGCGCTGGCATCCCATGTGGGTGCTGCTTCTAGTCCCGGCTGCTCCTCTTCCTATCCAGCTCTCTACTATGGCCTGGGAAAACAGTGGAAGATCGTCCAAGTGTTTTGGCCCCTGCACATGCATGGGAGACCCAGAAGAAGCTCCTGGGTCCTGGCTTTGGATTGGCCTAGCTCCGGCCACTGCGGCCATTTGGAAAGTGAACCAGCTGATGGAAGATCTTTCTGTCTGCCTCTCCCTCTCACTGTCTGTAACTCTACCTCTTAAATAAATTTTAAAAATCTTTAAAAAAATAAATTATTTTTATTTTATTTTATTTTATTTTATTTTATTTTTTTGACAGGCAGAGTGGACAGTGAGAGAGAGAGAGACAGAGTGAAAGGTCTTCCTTTGCCGTTGGTTCACCCTCCAATGGTCGCCATGGCCAGCGCGCTGCGGCCGGCGCACCGGGCTAATCCGATGGCAGGAGCCAGGTGCTTCTCCTGGTCTCCCATGGGGTGCAGGGCCCAAGCACTTGGGCCATCCTCCACTGCACTCCCGGGCCACAGCAGAGAGCTGGCCTGGAAGAGGGGCAACTGGGACAGAATCCGGTGCCCTGACCGGGACTAGAACCCGGTGTGCCGGCGCCGCAAGGTGGAGGATTAGCCTAGTGAGCCATGGCACCGGCCTAAAAATAAATTCTTTAAAATATTTTATTACTAATTTCTGCCTTTTGGGATACTTTCTGCTTTTCAACATTGGAGAAATTATGCAGCATTTCCTGGGTTTCCCTTCTCCTTCTAGGATGTCCCAGCTCTGCCACTCTCTAGGGATATAATCTGAGAAAGTGGCTTTATATCTTGTCTGTCTGATGAGGGGTTCTACTAGACCATTGTCTGTGATTCCTGGGAGTGGAAGTGCTGGGCGTCAGCTGGGTGTATGTTTAGTTTCATAAAAAACTGCCTGACTTTTTCCCTTAGTCATGTGTACTCCATCACGTTCAGCATTTTAAACCAAGTCTTGTCATTGCTGGTCTGGTGACCTAGCAGTCATTACGGTTCTCTGAGAAGTCATAGAATGAGCATTAGCTTGTGGCCAGCCAGAGATTTCAAACCCAAGCTCTGTGGCTCACTATCTGCCGTGGCCTTGGGCACATCGCGTAACAGCATGAATCTTCCCCTTTTCTGTGTACAAAATGGGCACCTTTATACTGACCTTGCTGTAAAGAGAGATCATGAAACCTATCTGCCATAATTCCTAGTATCTGCATGTGGTCTGTTTTCAGTAAGTGTTAGCTGCTGCTGTTACTATTGCCCGCTGATCAAATGCTTCCTGACTACCACCCACACCCAGCCTCTCTGGGGAGTCTTCTCTTTCAGGAAAGACCTTGGCGTGTTGTTGAAGAAAGTGTGACCTACAGAGAGCCGTCTTGGTGGATCCAGATGTTTTAAGTGTGTCATTGTTGAAAACCTCTTCAATAAACAAGCCTGATCCACCCTTGCACGCTAAGCAAAAGCTTGTTCCTGAGGGCAAATGTACCTGCCACAGAATTCAGTAACGTCCTGAGGATGGTTGTGATGTCACAGGATCTGAGCTTTCGTTGGATGCCCGTCACCCTGCTGCTGCGTTTCTTCTTCATTCTGTTTCATTTAAAGACAATTTAAAAAGTGGTAAAAAGCACATGATGTAAAATTTACCATCTTCACTATTTTGTTACATTTGATTTTTTTTTTTTTTTTGACAGACAGAGTTAGACAGTGAGAAAGAAAGAGAGAGAGAAAGGTCTTTCTTCCGTTGGTTCACCCCCCAATGACCGCTACGGCCGGAACACTGCGCTGATCCAAAGCCAGGAGCCAGTTGCTTCTTCCTGGTCTCCCATGCGTGTGTAGGACCCAAGCACTTGGGCCATCCTCCACTGCCTTAGCAGGCCACAGCAGAGAGCTGGACTGGAAGAGGAACAACCGGGACAGAATCCAGCGCCCCAACCGGGACTAGAACCCAGGATGCCGGCGCCGCAGGCGGAGGATTAGCCTAGTGAGCTGCGGCACCGGCTCTTACATTTGATTTTAAGTTCATTTTTTTATCTACGTATCCTCCTTCCCCTAGTCCCTCTTCAGCAGCGCATCAGCAATGACGAAGTCAAACTGAATTCTCTTTTTTTATGTTTTCCTTTTGTAGTGTAATGAGTCCTGTCAGAGTCACCGATTCCCTCTGGATTTAGGCTTATTTATGTGGCTAGACTTCATTTGTGATAAAAATCCCAAGGAATCTTTCTCTTTCATCTTTTTCTCTGAGATTCTCAGTGTTGTTTGGGAGCATCAGACTAGGGAAAGGAACTGGAAGAAACCAAAGGCAAGATGGGCAGCTGAATTTTGCAGTCTCCATCACTCCCACAGCAGGTCAGGAAATGTGAGCACAGATTGGAGAAGCAGCACACTGGAGGGAAACCACACCACCTGGCCAAGTGTCTGTGCCCTGGAGCACACACCAGGCCTCTTGTTAGAAGACAGGCTGCTCAGATGGTGCTGTTTCTGAGCCATCATCCAAAGGCATTTGTAACCACTTTTTGCCCTTAAAAGCGATCATAATGGGAGACTGCACTTTTATTTGGGTGGTAGTTGAAAACAGCTTTGAAATTTCCTTTTTAGGGCTACCTTCAACACCTATGTGACATTTTTTCCTTTTTTTAAAGATTTATTTATTTTACTTGAAAGCCAGAGTTACACAGAGAGAAGGAGAAGCAGAGAGAGAGAGAGGTCTTCCATCCGCTGGTTCACTCCCCAGATGGCTGCAAGGGCCGGAGCTGTGCTGATCTGAAACCAGGAGCCAGGAGCTTCTTCCAGGTCTCCCACACGGGTGCAGGGGCCCAAGGACTTGGGCCATCTTCTGCTGTTTTCCCAGGCCATAGCAGAGGGCCGGATCGGAAGTGGAGCAGCCGGGACTAGAACCGGCGCCCATATGGGATGCCGGTGCTTCAGGCTGCAGTTTTACCTGCTATGCCACAGCGCCGGCACCGTGACATCCTTTTGAATGGAGTCTGTCACAAGAAGGCCTCCTGCTGCTTTGATTGTGTTGTTTTCTGCAAGTGACCGAAGGTTATTTGGTGCTGAATCCAGTGGCTAAGTCAGACGATCATGCGGAACAGCATCATTTGTAGTTAAAATAAAGGGCAAAACTTTAAGTGATTCTGATTTTCAGATTGAAAATCAACCAGCTGAATGTTGATGCTGCTTGATGATAGGTGAGAATGAAGATTTGGGAAATAAAGCAATATGCTGAACTTGACACTGCAGCCCTTATCACCCTGGTGATAGCGCCTCAATCCGTGATGGACGTCTCGGAGCACATTCAAACAGGAGCATTTGTGTCTTGTGTGATAAATGCTATTCTGGGTGTGCCTAGGATTTTGTGTTTGCATCTAAAGGTATTCTGTGAAAGACTGCTGTAGTTGGTGTTTTGGACATCAAGCTTTAAGGGTGTTTTAGACTTCTGCTGTTAATATGCAGATCTTATGGGTTTTTTATTTAATAATTTTTTATATAATTTGTAAGTAACATTTTTGTGCAGCTCCACAAGAATAAAAGCCACGTGTGTCCTGTTTGGCACTGTATCCTCAAGACCTACCTAGCACAGTGGGAACTAACCCTAGTGGGAACACAGTAAATATTTATTCAACAAATCCATGCTTTCAAACTTTGTAGCACTGTTTGTGTAAAGCATACAATGGAGGAGTAATAGGTTGTTTCTCTTTCTTTTGCAGCTGTCAAACTTAAAAGTTCTGAATCACTCCCCAATGTCTGATGCCTCTGTCAATTTTGACTTCAAATCCCCATCCCCGTTTGACTGCAGCACTGATCAGGAAGACAAGATTGATGGTGTTGCTAGGCATTGTCTGCCCCAGAAGGACCTGTATGCAGCTGAAGAGGAAGCAGATACCCTTTTTCCTAGGAAAATGACATCTCACAATGGGATGGAGGACAGTGGAGGAGGGGGTACCGGAGTGAAGAAGAAACGGAAGAAAAAGGAGCCAGGAGAGCAGGCGGGTACTGCAAAAGGAAGCAAGGATAGGGAGCCCAAGCCAAAGAGGAAGCGAGAACCTAAAGAACCCAAGGAACCCCGGAAGGCCAAGGAGCCCAAGAAAGCCAAGGAGCCCAAGGAGCCGAAGCAGAAGGATGGAGCTAAGAAGGCTCGGAGGCCCCGGGAGGCCTCGGGCACCAAGGAGGCCAAAGAGAAGAGGAACTGCTCCGACTCCACAGGCAGGACAAAGTCCAAGAAGGCCAGGTGTGTACTTTCATACTAGCTGCAACCCCCGAGGGCAACTGGACTGCACTCCTGTGGGCCTAAACTTCATACCCCTCTCCTGTAGATTGGGGAGCAAGGATAGCCACCTGGTTCTAATGCAAGAGGCTGTCCTTGGAGGTTGCTTTTTTCTAATTACATTCCTGGGATTTTGTTGCTTCAGAAACCACATTTGTGTTTTAAGACTCCAAAATTTTTATGCCCTTCAGACCCCAGCCATCCTTTTTATCCTTAGTACTTAGCATTCTTTGGTTGGTGACTGGTATACTGTCACATGTGTAGATATACCCCTTAAATCCCATGCTTATGTGCTCATGGTGTCCATATTAGTTTTAATCCAAAAATGAGCCACTTTTCTCACCACCTAATGAGGTGATAACCTTAATTAATACTGGCCATTGCAATTTTCTTGCCATTTATAGTATTCATCAACTTTTCATTATTGTGTGATGCCTCAGAAGAGCCACTTAGGAAGGAAGAAGGTTCATTTGAGCTTAGAGTTTTGGAGGTTGACAGTCTAATACTGGGTAACCCCTTTGCTTTAGGCATCTGGTAAGGCTAGAGGATGGTAAGAGGGACTGTGACATGGTGAGCCAGGAAGCAGAGAGACAGGGAGCACGTACTGCATCTACCATCTGGTCTCCTTGTAATGCCAGCAGGATTAGGTCACAGCTTCTACTCGAGCAGTCTAGTGCAGTCTCATCACTTCCCAAAGGCCCTACCTTCAGACATTAATTGGTTCTGGCCTCTACCCTAATCCATCACCATTAGTCAATTAATCGTTAACCTAAGACATCGGACTTAAGCATCTGCGTGAATAAGTCTGTCTAAATCATAACACTGCTCCTTTGAAATTAAGAAGAATTAAGATGTTAATATGCACAGGGTTTAAGGAATGGGGCGTCCAGGTCTGATTCAGGGATTTTTGTAACAGGAACAGTGTAGAGGCAAAGGGTCAGCTGTGAAGAAGGTACGAAATCGTGGTAATCAAAGGCACAGTCTGCAAGAGCCAAGGGTGTGTGCAAGTTCCAGATAGTAAGGGTTGACTGGCTTCCACAGGCTCTGAGCTCTGGGTGCAGGACCATCTGTGACTTATGTCTCTAGTTTACTGTCTAGCATAGTACTAGACACATTAGAGATAGTGAGACCAGAAGAGAGCCAAGCAACTTGTAGATAAGAAGGCATGGGTACGATTCACTGTGGGATGAGTGATAGGAGGGGCCTGGCTGTACATCCTATCCGCGGGGCAGATTCCCTCCTTTGTAGGGAACTAAGTTTTTGTCATGTATATACAAAAGTAATGTTTTCTACTTTCTCTCTTTGAATTCTTTGTGCAGAACAATTGTTTTCAACTTTTTGAAGAAATGCAAGATAGGTGTATGACCCCTATATTGAGGAATTTAAGTGTCTAAAGTCTAAGTGCAGAGGCAGGATATCTATATCAGTGTCTGTTTATGTATCAGGCTAGGAGCACCCATAGGAACCCTGAGATTGATGTGCATGCTAACAGAACATAAGTTAATGAGGCCACCACACCTGCATACAAGAGATAAGTTTTAAACAACGAAAGCATTTTTAAAAAACTATTTTTTAAAATTATTTGAAAGGCAGAGAGAGACATTTTCTCATTCCCCAAATGCCTGCAATAGCCATGCTGGGCCAAAGCCAAGAGCCCAGAACTCTGTCCAGGTCTTCCACATTGGTGGCAGGGACATAAGTTTTGTTTTGTTTTGTTTTGTTTTGACAGGCAGAGTTAGACAGTGAGAGAGAGAGAGACAGAGAGAAAGGTCTTCCTTCCATTGATTCACCCCCAAATGGTTGCTACGGCCGGCGTGCTGCGCCGATCCGAAGCCAGGAGCCAGGTACTTCCTCCTGGTCTCCCATGTGAGTGCAGAGGCCCAAGCACCTGGGCCATCCTCCACTGCCTTCCCAAGCCACAGCAGAGAGCTGGACTGGAAGAGGAGCAACCAGGACTAGAACCTGGCGCCCATATGGGATGCTGGTGCCTCAGGCGGAGGATTAACCAAGTGAGCCGCAGCGCCGGCCCCTGGACCCAAGTATTTAAACCATCATCTGCTACCTCTCAAGGTGCACATTAGCAAAAGACTAGAATTGGAAGTGGCACCATAATTTGAACCTAGGCACTCTGATGCAGGATGCAGGCATCTTAAGCAGTGTCTTAACCATTGCATCAAATGCCTACCCCAAGAGAGAGCACTTTAAATGGTGTGTATTAACTTGGAGCTTACTGTGTGGTTCAGTTCTTCTTCAGAACTACAGTTGGGACCAGATGGATGATTTTTTAATCCAAGTTTAAATTTGCTCATATTCACTCCCTTTTGCCTGGCATGGGATTTTCGTCTTTAGTCTATCAAAAAGGCTCGGGTAGAATCCTAGAAATGTAGTTTACAGAGAATGGCTATTGAATACCTTAGAGAAGGCTAAGAGAGGCAGGACGTTGAACTAAAGAACAACTTACAGATTTTGTTTCATAGAGAATCTCATGAGCGTACTCTGATCTCCAGCGTATGGATGGACTGGCTCAGTGGCTGTGGCCTCTGCCAGTGATTTCCACCTCCAGATTATTTTGGAGAAGCTGAAGTGGTTCTTTGGGTGATAATATGTGTGAAGGAGAGTTGGACATAAGCCACTGGAATTAGTTATTTTGGTTACTACAGAGAATGATAGGAATTGGGGTAGTGTTTGAGAATTAGGGCAGTAAGAATAGAGGTTCACAGCCCTGATAAGAAGTTTGGGTTGAGAGGGAAGCTAAATTCTGTAGAGGTATCTGAGCTCACTTAACCATGAATCTCTGCTGCTTGCAATGTTGTAAGCATCTCCTTCTTAAAGAAATTCACAAGGCTGGTGCTCTAGCACAGCGGGTTAAGCCATGGCCTGCAGCACTGGTATCCCATATGGGTCCCGGTATGTGTCCCAGCTGCTCCTCTTCTGATCTAGCTTCCTGCTAATGTTCCTGAGAGCACAGTGGAAGGTGGCCTGAGTGCTTAGGCCCCTGCACCCACGTGGGAAACCCAGATAAAGCTCCTGGCTCCCAGCATTGGCCTGGCCCAGCCCTGGCTGTTTGCAGCCATTTGGGAAGTGAACCAGTGGATGGACGATCTCTGTCTCTCTGCCTCTCTATCACTCTGCCTTTCAAATAAATTAATTAATTAAAAAAAAGAAATTTGCATTTATATTGTGTGGGAAATGAAACAAGGCAATAGTATGCAGACATAGCCATCAATTCCATTTTGGGATCATGAACAGGTATTTTGCACAACAGGGTTGGGTGTCAGATGTATAAGCACAATCAGGACTTTGACTAGTGGAAACTTACTGCCTTTCATGAGTATGTGTGTTAGTTAAAGGAACATGAGCTTGATCTGATGAGGCTGCATCAGGTCTGAGTGACTTGGTGAAGTGTTTGGTAGTGTTTTCTAGGACTGCTTACTTAAAAGACAGCAGAACTTCTTGCGGTTTCCAAATCCAGGACATCCTTGGATAGGAGCTAACAGAAGGATGAGCATGGTCATCTCTAGAGATGTGGAGAGATTTCCCAAGGCTTCTCTCTCCTTATTTTACGGCTGTATCATCCTGATGTAGAATTAGTCTGTACACCCCAGCTAGAGTTCTGAACTGGTTAGCCTTTGCTTTTGATTCCCCTGTAGCTCCATAAAATTGCTTCAGGCCCTTTATTTAATTATCCCGCAGATCAGCACAGTTTTAGTTATGAAAAGACATTAATTGATTTTTTTAAAATCTTAGTAATTAAGTCTTAGTTTTCTATGCAGTGTGATTGTTCTTGCAGATTGGCTGCAGCTCATGTTTTCTTTTTTAATTTTTAAATTAATTTATATGAAAGAGAAAGAAACTCAGACAGCTCCCATCTGCTGATTCATTCCTCATATGTCCACAATGGCCAGAGCTGGGCTGAGGCAGCCAAAGGCAGGAACTCAAATCTGGGTTTCCCACGTACTTGAACCATCATTGCTTCCTCTCAGGGTCTGGTACATTGGCAGGAAGCTGGAGTGAGAAGCTGAAACTGCTTATCAAACTCAGATACCCTGATGTGGGATTCTGGGTGCCTTAACTGCTAGACTAAGAATGCACACCACGTGTGTGCTTGGATTTGAGCTGTTATTGATTAGGCCCCGGACAATAGGCCTAATGATGGTTATAAATGATTCACCGAATGCTTGCAGTACAATAGGAGCTCCACAGCTTACTTACAGGGTTCTGGCTTTCTTCAGTCCATCTTGCCAGCTGCTGCCTGGCCAGTCTCTCTGAAGCACTGCTGTTACCTTATTTATGTTACCAGTCAGTGGTGGTGGTGCCAAATCGTGTTCCTTTCACTCTTTCTCAGTTCTAAATCAGTTAGGAAATCATCAACAGAAGAGATCCAGTTGTCAGCTCTATTACTAAAAAACTGGATAGGGGCCAGCACTATGGCGTAACAGGTTAAGCTGCCACCTGCAATGTCAGCATCCCATACGGCCACCGGTTCGAGTCCTAGCTGTTCCACTTCCAAACCAGCTCCCTGATTATGCACCTGGAAAAGCAGCAAAAGATGGCCAAGTCCTTACCCAAACCTTTGGAGTCTAATCTTGCCCTTCCTCTCTCTTTGGCTACAGTGATCTCATTAGCCTCTAAAAGCACTTCCCTCCTTTCTCTTTGGATTGCTCTTGCTGTGTCTTCCAGCCACTTTACCCTTTGTCCTTCTCCCTATCCCAGCTTCCTTCTGTTCTTTGTGTCTGAGTGCAAGTCCTAATTCCTCCATAGAATTTCCCCAAAGCAGTATGCCTGTGTGTCCCCTCGGAACTGCCATGGCACTCGCAGCCTCCCTCCCCCACTCCCTCCCTCCCTTCTTCTTTTTTAGACATTTATTTGAAAGTCAGAGTTACACAGAAAGAGGAAGAGACAGAGAAATCTTCCATCCGCTGGTTCACTCCCCAAATGGCCACAACGGCCAAGGCTGGGCCAGG